GTGTGTGGTTCACAAAAATTGCTATTTTAATCATACACATTAGTTTCATATACACGCATATAATACAGAAGGTTTCATCATACACACCCACATTAATTTCACAAAATTGTTCTTTTTTTATATGTTGCATATGAAATTTAAATACTTTTTATGTGTTCGTAGGGATCGGAGAACGGATTCAACGTACTATAAAACAAAAGGATATAGATATCAACAAGACTCTTGTGGAAAGAAAAATTTATCCTATAAAAAATTACAACTTTGAGGAGTGGCAAGGTCAGTCGCTAACACATGTGGGCCTGTTTTTAAAAAATCCTGTATTCAGTCACGGACAGTTGTATGTGGCCGTATCACGTGTAACCAATCGTAATGGTTTAAAAATCTTAGTGTGTGGAGATCAAGTTTCTAAAACTCAGACCGAAAATGTTGTGTATAAGGAAATTTTTAATAATATCTAAATATAATGAGTTTGACTTACTTTTTTTTAAAAAAAAAAATTAATAGCTTCTTACAATAGGTTGTCTTTGAACTATACGTGATATTTGAAATATATGATATATGTTATCTGTTTTTGATTTGCAAATACCTTTAAAATTCATGTGGGCATCAGTTACCACTTGTGATTTCCTATGTGATGGTTGATGAGTTTTAAAATAGTCAATGACTCTTAGTAACATACACGTCGGCCTATTATGTTTCAATAAATGAAAAACACTATTTTGTGCTATCTGACGCAACAGTGATCTTGGTTTTAAAATATTAGTTTGTGAATATCATTGTGACCGGTCATACCATCAATCTATGTATAATGAAATTTTTAATAATATTAAAAGAAGTTTCATTTTTTCAATTGATTTGCAAAAAATATACATTTTTAATTAATTAACTTACGATAATTATTGTTATTGAACCATATCCCCCCGTGCATCGCACGGGCTTAACACTAGTCTTAATTATTAAGATTATCCCTTATCATTAGAGACCCAATAGAATACTCTGTTAAGAATTAATTAAGAATGGTGTTTAAGAAACCACAAACAATATGGGTCCTGATTCTGATTTTTTTTTTGTTAATATTTAATTTCGTATATGTGTTTCATGCAATAATATTACATTATTAACTTTATGTTAAAAGTCCGATCTGACGACACATATTAATAGTTTTTGTTGAAACCTTTGATTGTAATATCTTTGCTGACCGACAATTTACAAGTGAGTCTATGGTGAATAGTGTGGTTTTTTTTTTACACTATTTTAAAAATCTTATATTATTGTGTCACTTTATGAATTTTATGTATCCAAATTAAAATGTTGCTCTAATTTTTTTATTATTTTTTTTTTTGAATTAGTGTCTTATTGTCTTTTAAAAGTTCAAAACTCTAAACGCATTGTGATATGTATTATATACAACACTAGTTATGGGTACTTGAAAAAAATATTTATATAGTAAAAAAAGAATAAATAAAAGTATTTATTTATATTTTCATAATGAAATCATAGTAATGCTCTCCGTTACGGTGGGCACATTGTTAATATGTCCACTGTTTATATAGCATGCACACATTGGTGATATTGATATGTTAAAAAAATATATCACCAATATATGTATATCACATAAACAGTGGACATATTAATATATACATAGGGTCAGGAAATCATTATAATAATAAACATAACATATGCTGCCAAACAAAAACAAAGAATATGATGATGGTGCCCATTAACGTAACAGCCATCAGAACCCACAGTTTGGCACCAAATCAATCAGCGGCCCGCAATCCCAACCCCAATCCCGATGCACACCCAAT